GTCACTAGACGACGTGTGGCGACACATCGTCCGCTACCAGAACGGCCTGCCGCACGCTGTGCGCGAGGTCTATCGGCTCTGCGACGCAGTCCAGTTCGAGTACTACTTGATCGATTGCACTCCAGAGGGCAAGGAGTTCATTGGGCGGATGACACATCTGCCGGCGCGCTTTGCGTCGCTTCCGTTCTTTGCGGGGTCGCCGTTGACGGAGATCGACGTGCACGACCTCTTCCTCACATTTCCGCACCAAGAAGACCGGCTTCCGTTCCACCTCGTCCTCCTCGAAGGCGATTTGCGCCTCATTGCGCAGCTCGTCGCATTCGATCCGCAGCTCGTCACGCCCGAGAGCTTTCGGCTTGCGATTGCGGCCGGGCATCTCGTTGTCGCCCAAACGCTGCTGCACATGAACCCGTCTGTGGTCGAGGTCACCTCATTTGCGGATCTTGACGCTGCCAACGAGGATACGGCCGTCTGCGTCGCGGCCGCCAACGGCCGTCTCAAGATTCTCCAATGGCTGCACGCGTCGGGCCACGAGCTTGTCTGGCACGCGCTCGTCATCGCCGCAACCAATGGCCACGAAGACGTCGTCACTTACCTCCTCGGGCACGAGCTCTCGTCCGGGTCGCCCGACCATGCCCCCGTGCATTGGACGCCGTCACACCCGATACAGAGCGCCTTGGCATGCGCGCTATGCAATGGCCATGCCGGCGTTGTGCTGCGACTCCTCCAATACGGGCCCTGTACGCTTCAAGAACACCTGGATATGCCCTTTTTCAAGTGGTCGGTGGCGTCAGTGGTCGGTCGCCACCACGTTCAAGCGCTGCAGCACCTCCTCGACGCTAGCATGGATGTGAGCTCGCTCGATGCCACGGCCGTCCACGAGATCTTCTCGTGCGTAGATTTCGAGCCCACGATCGTGCTCGACGCGACCGATGCTGAGATCGAGGCTGTCGTGCGCGCGCTCCCACGTGCGTTTTATGTAGAAATGCTCTTGGCAGCGGCTCGGGACGGGACTCTAGGGGCGCTGACCTCGGTTTTCCGGGGTATTCTTCAAGCAAACATCGCCCTTGATCTAGCTGCCGACATCGAGCAAGCGCTTGCTTCCGGCGCGACCGCCCACTGCATCAAGACGCACAAGACCATGCGCTCGTTCTTGCACCGCGTAGGCCTCGACGACACGGCTCTCGCCTCGGTGCTGATGGAGGCGCATCGATTTGGGACACTGCCTGCTGTGCAGTGGCTCGATATCAACTTTGGCATCGTCAGCTCGGCCGCTGCAATGGCAGAAGCAGCAGCAAGGGCCGAAGATGCAGACATTGCCCAACGGTCACACGACACGTTCGAGCTGGATGGACTCCACAAAGCCCCGCCGCGTCCAGCTCCGGCAGCCTTTTGTCGCTTTGACATCAGCTGCTTGCTCGACAGAGGCGATATCACGTCCCTAGAGAAGCTGGTGCGGTCGCTCTGGCAGCCAATGCATATGAGCATCGATTGGGACGCGGCGAGAACGCAGGCTGCCCAGTACGGCCAGAGGCGCTTGCTCCAGTGGATCAATAAGTATTTTTAAATCATCTTCTTCACGTCTCGATCCACTCGCAGCGCTGCATCATAGTGCACGCTGGACGACTGCAGCACCAATACCTGAGCACCGTCTACAAGGTCGTCGGCATGCTACGAAGCCTCTTTGCATGCTCGGATGAAAGGGTGGTTAGGGCAAGAATATTGGAGTATAATGGTCAAAGGTTGCAGTCTGGTGGAACCATTCAAATGGACTTGAACACATACGCTTGTTTCTGCGCCGCTGTCATTGCATTGACGATGTCGCCTTCGATATGTCCTTCCTTTCGACCCAACGTGGTCTCAACCCTCCTTAGCGCAGTAGACCACATGCACATCGTTTACACATGTATCATAGATCTCTTATCGGCTTCTCGACAGCAGAGCGTCGAGCTGTGCGTCCATGTCGTCGAGGTCGGTCGTGCCAGGGACCGGCGCGACCTTGCCACTTGCCTT